AAATTAGGAATAAAGAAGATTTCCGTAAGTAATGTTGGATGAATTACTGTTAACTCAATGATTCCGAAACAGTGATCAATACAAATCATGAAACCTGAAAGTCCTTCGTTTTCATATTAATGAATTCTGACGAGTATGAAACAGATTATCCAGTGTTAGTTTTTTTAATAGTTAAAATGATTGCCTAATCGATATCTTACTTACTTACTTACGCCTGTTACCCTCAATGGAGCATAGACCTCCAACCAGCATTCTACAACCCACACTGTACTGCCACCTCCTTTCTAGTTCTATCCAATCACTGTTCATTCTTCTCATGTCTGTCTCCATTTCTCGGCCTAATGTGTTCTTTGATCTTCCTCTTCTACTTTGGCATTATGGATTCCATGTGATGGCTTGCATTGTGACACAGTTGGGTGATTTCCTCAATGTGTGTCCTATCCACTTCCACCACTTCTCCCTGATTTCTTCATCCATTGGATGGAATCTGGTTTGTTCTCTCCCACATCAGGTTATTGCCGATAGTGTTTGACCAACGGATCCAAAGTATCTTGCGTAGACAACTGTTAATCAACACCTGTATCTTCTGGATGATGGCTTTCGTAGTTCTCCAAGTTTCAGCTCCATACAATAGAACTGTCTTGACATTTGTATTGAAAATTCTTCTTGTTGTTGTTGGTTGACAATTGTTTTGAGTTCCAGATGTTCTTCAGTTGTTGATATGCTGATCTTGCTTTGCCGATCCCTTCCTTCACATCTGCATCAGATCCACCGTGTTCATCAATGATGCTGCCCAAATATTTAAAGGTTTTCAAATCCTCCGGAGCTTGGTGCATGTTGTGGTGTATCAGTGAATCTTGCTTTTTCCCTTATGTATATTGAGACCTACTAATCGATATCAGGCTTCAATAAAAACCAGTTTTTCATTCACAAATTCTTCATATAATACTCAATACATCAATAAATTAGACAAGTAATTTATTTTCGTACATTGAAGTACAAAAAACAACAAACTACACAAGTGTTTATTAAAAAAATTGTTGACATATATGCCACGTGCATCTAAGCAACAAAAAAAGAGAAAGTGACAAGTAAACAATCCATAGTATAACCAAACATGTATAATTCATTTTATGTTTATTAATCTTCTAATTACCGACTAATTTGTGATAAATAAATAAGTAATTAATTAGTTATACATTCAGCATACATATCTAAAGTTGTTTTTTTTTCTTTTTTCGTATCTTAAGTGATGTCAGTTATACTGAAATGTTTTTTTTATCATGTGATGTGTAAAAATACACACTATTAGTATGCATTTTTTTATTGCATTATTATCAGTATATAGAAAAACAATGGTAACCCCCTTTTATTGTCACAGAATTTTGTTTTTTTTATTTTTTTGAAGTATTACACAATGACAATACCATTTGACATAATGATCAGATAGAATTTTGGATATGTGTAAAATAAACAAATATTTGTTTGTTTGTTTTTTATATTTTTTTGACATAAATTTATTGTTATTGTGTAATCATTTGCATAATATCAAACCATATTATTATTATGTGAAATGGTGATTACATTATATTAACTCATAGGATTTCTGAAACTTTACTCAAAACTAATAATAATAATAATAATAATAATAATAATAATAATGCTTAGTTTGGAGGAAATAAATAGTTAACTAAGCAAAGATGGATAGTGGCTAGCAGTGGAATCCAGGACGCGCATGTCATCCTATTTAGGACTCGTCAGCTGGATGTACATGCATCTTAAAGTTGATGTGCATTCTGGGAATCGAACCCAGTACCTTTCGTTTCAAACGCCATCGCGTTATCCACTCAGCTACTGAGTCCTGATAGCCACTTGCTTGTGCAATGGCATTATTTTATACATGTACAAAAGACATTGAGTAAAAGAATAAAGATAATGAGTATAATATAGTTTTACAGCACTTTGTTGTCAAGTGTCTCTTTAAATTTTAGTTCAATTACGATAACAGTCTGAAATCTCCTGACTGACTTTTGCAGAAACTTTGAAAAAAAATATATGTGGTCACTAAACAATTTTGAATAGAACTTAGAAAACACAGTACACTATGACTAAAAGTTATGTTGTATGAGCCAATTTCTTTTATAGCCATTAAAACTTTCTGCCCTACAGATCATTCTTCAAATTGTTTTTTCTCCCATTATAATTTGAGAGTAAAATGTATTTCATAAGAGAATATTCATGAACTGAGCGAAAAAAGTTCTTCAACATGAACTAACATAACATTAGTTTAGCAGTTGAATTCACGAGTCAACTTAAGTTAGACCATTAATGAAAACCTGGAAGAGCTTGACGGTCATTTCGTCTTAGTATGGGATTCCACAGCTGTCAACATCCACAATCCCGCATGCTGGACTCAAACTCAGGATCTTCAATCTCACGAGTGTACGCTTAACATCTAGACCACTGAGCCGGCATGCGGGATCGTGGTTGGGATTCAACTGAAGTTAATCCATGATGAATACCATTTACAAATCAAGATTATTAACACGAAACCTCTCCAACAATGTATATAACAAATTAATTATTTATAGATTTTTTTACTTATGTTTGTTTTCCCTCGTGGAGGAGCATAGACCGCCTACCATCACTCTTCTTCCAACCCTGTCCTAGACATTTATTTATGCAGTCTATGGTACTTTGAACAAATTTATTTAAAATTATTCAATAATTTCTTTGTTCAAATTTCATTGTTCTATGCATAATTTTGTTTTTGTTAGTTGAGATTGCCTTAGTGATTATTTTCTATTTTTTTTAACACCGTTCATATTACGTAATTTCGAATTGAGTAACAGCTCATTGAATTTCAACTCTTTTACATGTACAAAATAAAAATTGACCTAAAATTTATCAGCCATTTTAGTTCATGGCATAAGTGTGATATTTGTATAATTAGATGAGAAGAAAAAAAAGAATTTAAGGTATATCAATTTTAATTATGTACATATCACAAATATGCTTATGCATAAACAAATATAAACAGGTCTGTTGCTATAGTAACTAAAAAATAAATGGGTTTTAGTTATTATTCAATTTTTTCGAATACTTTTTTTCGTCAAGCAAGGGGTGAATCGTTTCACCAACTCATAAACTTAGAACTAAATAGGCTGCTTAACATACTTATTACACTTAATTATATAATATAGTAAAATAAAATTAAAAGGTAAATGACGTTAAGAAGCATGAAAAACAAGCTCTAGGTAAACTTCAAAATGAATGGATTCAATCAGTTAGGAAATAAGTGAAAGTTATACAGTATTAGGATTTATTAAAAATCATGACATGGTATAAATCTATTGAATTTCGAAAATGTAGACCATTAGACTTCAATTGAGTATTTTAAGCTTAAGTATACTCACTATAAAAAACCTCAAGTTCTTGACGGTTCATTATTGTTTGATGCTTTATGAGTGACCTGTTCATCAATTTTAAACTAGAGCAAAATAACTGTTAATTGTTCTTTGATTTTTTTCAAAAATGCATCAGTGACTAACAAATCATGATACCGATCACTCCTTTAATGCCAATAAGTGAATAAGAATTAGAACATCTGGAACTCAAAACAATTGTCAACCAACAACAACAAGAAGAATTTTCAATACAAATGTCAAGACGGCTCTATTGTATGGGGCGGAAACCTGGAGAATTACGAAGGCCATCATCCAGAAGATACAGGTGTTGAATAACAGTTGTCTACGCAAAATACTTCGGATCCATTGGTCAAACACTATGAGCAACAACCCACTGTGGGAGAGAACAAACCAGATTCCATCCAATGTATGAAGAAATCAGGGAGAAGCGCTGGAAGTGGATAGGACACATATTGAGGAAAGCACCTAACTGTGTCACAATGCAAGCCCTCACATGGAATCCTGAAGGCCAAAGGAGAATGGATTGTAGAATGCTGGTTGGCAGTCTATGCTCGATTGGGAGTAACAGGCGTAAGTAAGTAAGTAAGTAAGTAAGTAAGTAAGTAAGTAAGTAAGTAAGTAAGTAAGTGAATAAGAATCATAAATTTATTATTAAGGCTTTGCAATCTAAATGTCATTATTGAAGACTGGAACTAATTCATCTCTATTGTTACATAAACGCCCTGAGTGAACTGTATCGATATTGTATTATACCTCAACTTAATAGTTTAATTAAAAAAGCATTAACCTTTTAAAGCAATAAGCACTAGGTTTAAATATTACAATGAATATCAACACTAAGATGTAATTATATTCAACTGATTATCCTCAAATAGAATGAAACATGTTTCCTACATTCCTTTACTGACTACAATCTAAATATATTATAAGTATTAATCACTTGATAAAATAATTAAGAAAACAAACGGTAATCAATGAATGAATATTATTGAATATTTAGCAGACGAAACATTTAAACAAACTATTCCTTGAACTCTTTTTAAAACAAAAAATAATTTTATATAGTTGAGATCATGAGTCAATTAAAGCTAGACCACCATGGAAAACCTGAAAGCACTGGACGGCCGTTTCGTCCTATTGTGGGACTCCTCAGCAGTGCACATCCACGATCCAGCCTCACGAGATTCGAACCCAGGACCTACTAGTCTCGCGTGCGAGCGCTTAACCACTAGACCACTGAGCCGGCATCTAACCGTGTTAATGTCTAACTTCAACCAATCCACTAAATTGAGCAACCATTTACCAATGTCTTCAGTGAGTTAATATCTCACAACAGACCTGGTTGAACTCCACTGGTTACTGCTTCTCACTAGAACTCAATTAACTCATTATCTCAACTATATAAAATTACTAAAATCTCCACAAAACCCCCCTTCTGATAAAAAAAAATAATTACAAATTGTCTTAAAATCATTTATATAAAAATAATTTGTACAATAATATGATAAAAATAATTGAATAAAAAAATAATAATAAAATGTATTACTGAGGTATAGATCAATATTATAATTCCTAACATAATTTTATGACGACAGTATTATGGAACTTAGTTTGAGGTTGATGGAAAGGATCCAGTTGGAAGCATTTAAGAATTGTATTTGTTAGTTTCCAAAAAAAAATAAATGCATATCTTCCTAATCAATAGTTTCATTAATTTACTGTATCATCTGTTTGTTGGTTTTTTGGTAGTAGATTACTTCTTAATACTTCATGTGTTTTACGATGTTTACTTAAATGATCACTACGCATAAAACGTTTATTACATATACTACATGTGAAACGTTTTTCACCAGTATGTGTACGTATATGACGTTGTAATTCATCGGATCTAGTAAATGCTTTATTACATAATTCATATATACATTGAAATGGTCTTTCATCATTATGCCATCGTAAATGAGCTTTTAAATGACTTGTTTTACTATATGTTTTACCGCATAAATTACATAAATGCACTGCTTTATGTATTAATTTTCTATTATCTAAATTCAATGTTTCAACATTGAAACTATTGAAGGTATCTTTATTGTTACTGTTAACTCTATCGATAGATTTTATATTGCGCGCTAATTGACAATTGAAACATGGACATTTTTGACATTTCTTATTGAAATTCGATCTTCTCTGTCTTTGCTCTTGATTTAAGGCAGAGGATGTGGTAGTAGTCGTAGTTGTTGTACTATTAGTAGTAGTTATTGTTGTCATTATTGTTGTTTTGAATGATGAAAATATAGTTGATGGTTTTAATTGACACTTTTTGCTTTCCTCAATACCAGGAACAGTAACTTTAGGAATATTTGGTGAATTGATGTTTGATTTCATTTTATCCAAGTGTTCAGTGGTAGAATTAAATTCAGTTCTTTTTAACTGATTGTATAGTTGTCCAGAATAATGTGAATCATGTGTATCTAAAGATTGTAAAAAGGAATTTGGAGCTATTTCATTAGTAATATTGTGTTTAGAATAGATTATATCTGATTGTGAAACTGGTGATTTAGTTGAATATGTGTAAAATATATTTGTTTTTAATTGTTGAAATGAGTTAGAGAGATCGGTAAATTTATCGTTGTACATTTCTGTATTTAAATGTTTTGTGTGTGTACTAGTACTATTCATAGGATTAGCATCAATATATCCAGAAGGTATTTGTCTACTATGTACTAGATGAAATGCACTGAATTCTGATTTTATACAACCTTTTAAATCTAAGTAGTTATACGGATCTTTAGCATTTGACTGATTTGAATTAACTATAAACTTTTTATTTGCTAACTGTTTTTGACCTTCAAATGTTGTTGTTACTGATTTATCAGTTACTGGAAGCTTGATTAATTCAGTTTTTGAATGATAATTCAATAATGATGTATTCAATGTTGTATTTTTAATTCGATTTAAATGTTCTTGAAGACGATGTTTCAAAACTTCCATTTCTGGACTACTCCAGAAATTTTCTGTTTTTTCGATTATATTTATATTGGAATCTTTTATAAATTGATTTGATGAATTCATAATCGTTGATAACTTAGTAGCATGATGGGAATTCATTAAACTTGTTTTATTATTACTCTCTTGATTTATTCTGCTTATAGTGATTTGATTTTTGAAACAGCCCAACTCAGATGTTCGATGCTTTGGACATTGAATCAATTCATTGATGCTGAATTGATCACGTTTTGTTTGATTTTTATTAAGTGAAAGAGAAGAATTTGAAATTTGAAGATTTAATGCTACTTCAGAAGAAGAAGAAGAAGAAGAGGATGGGTTATAATGATGATAACCTCGTTCAGATAAATTCATTTATACAGCTCTAGGGAAATCATGGAAAATTAATCATAATTAGTTTTTCATTGAAGTATAAGTGAAGTAAAATAAAATTAATGTATATATTGAGACTAAAAAGTGCTAAATACCAAACTATTTCTGTATTAATATAAAAAACACTAATTACTCCATAGTTGCTAGGTAACTGGGGTTAGTTGACAGGACACACTACAACCGCTTAACATTGAAACATAGTGTAATTTATATCGGGCCACTTAGACTATTGTTAAAGCTACAATTTGATCAATGGAATTCAATCAAAACTAAAGAGAAATCGGAAAACATAACACTCGTTACTACTGCTGATCAATTAATGTGGGTACGTAATAGAATATTACTGGCATATTTTCACAACTTCTGTGGAATTGTATGGTCATATAGTTAAATTTCAGAAGACAATATCAATTTTTTATGGAACTAAACCACATATCTTTAAAATAATTAACTTTTCATGTATGCCTATTTTTTATGGTGAGTATTATCCGTTAATCATGGTGTAAAGAAAAATTTAATAAGAACTACATATTTTTTAATTCGATATCAGTATTAAAAAGAGAATGATGTTTTTAGTAAGTTATCTAATTTGAATGTTGTTTTCGTCAAGTATTGAAGGAAAATGTACAATCAATGAGAACTGGATGACTGTTTCGCTCCAATTTGAGACTCTTCAAGAGTATACACTAAAGGCCTGATAATTATGTCACAAAACTCTTATATCCATACATTCCAGCAAACTCAGGTCAAGACAAACAGTGTAGCAGCAGAATCTGAATCACTAGGTCTCATTATATACAAGGGGAAAAGCGAGATCCTCAAATACAACAGAGAGAACACCAACCAAACCACTCACACTTGATGGAGAAACTCTGGAACAGATGGAAACTCACGTAGTTGGGCAGCATCATCGATGAACAAGGAGGATCTGTTGCAGACGTAAAGGCAAGGATTAGAAAGGTAAGGGCCTCATTCCTACAATTGAATAATGTATGAAACTCAAAACAACTGTTTGTCAGTCAACGTCAAAGTGAGAATCTTCAATACGAACATCAAGACATTTTTAGTGTACAGAGCTGAAACTTAGAGAACTACTACAACCACCATCAAATAAGTATAGGTATTTATAAACAATTGTCTACACAAGATAGTCAATATCCGTTGGCCAGGTACCGTAAGCGAAAACCTACTCTATGATAGAACAAACCAACTTCGGGCTGTGGAGGAAATTAGGAAAAGTCTTTGGAAGTGGATAGGATACACGTCAAGGAAATCACCAAACTGAATGACGAGGCAAGCGTTAACCTGGAATCTTGAAGAGAAAAGGGAAAGAGCAAGGACGAAGAACACACTGCTTCGACAATTGGAAGCAGATATGAAAAGGATGAATAGAAACTTGAAATAATCGGAAAGGATTGTCCAGAACGGCGTTGGATGGAGAATGCTGGTGGGAGGCCTATGCCACTCCATGATGGGTAACAGGCGTAATCAAGTTAGTAAGTAAGTAAATAAGTAGGATAATTATGAATACATATCTTATTGGTTGAAATTAAACGGAAATCTTTATCACTTGATGATACTATTTTTATCATTACAGTTATATGGTCTATTGTTGCAATAAATGAATAAATTAAGGTTAGTGCTGCTAAATTATACACTACGTCAAGTGATTTCAGTCTAAATCGAACATTCTAAATCGCAATTAATGGAGGCAATTTTGATGTTAAGTGGTTGAAAGAAGCGAATAGGAAACTCTGAACATAGGGTTCCTGTTACTTGTATCTCTTCAGTAAAGCATAATCATAATTTTAACGAAAATAATTAATCATTGTAGGATTCAATCACCTGTCACATAACCTCAAAACCTGAGACGTTATCCTTAAGGTATTTGGGCTTAGGCTGACTTGTTGTATGACTGAGATACTTACATTAACTGACCACTGAATAGTAACAAATGTTTACGTCTAATAGTTTGAATCATTAGCTACAGTTCAATTTAATCGATCGAAATTCGATCAGCACTAAAGAATCAAGAAACACGACATGAATTATGAGTAATAATGTCTTTTTTAATATAACAAAAATATCTTTGTTCATAAAGCTTGTGACTTAAGACAATATCGAGGCAGTTCGCTCAGGATGTACATATGCCAATAAGAGACTGATAAATTGCAGCCCTAAGCAACAATGGGAAAATACAAGGAAACAATACCACTAGAAGGTTTTTAGAATAAAATCAACTCATCAGTCTATTTTAAGGTTTCTTATCAACTGCCTTATTCTACTTATGATTATAATATTGATTACATTTCGTCCTATTGTAAGATTCCTCAGCAGTGCGCATCCACGACCTCGTCTCGCGAGATTCGAACCCAGGACCTGCCAGTCTCGCGCCAGAGCACTTTACCGTGGACGCCCACTGCTGAGGAGTCCCACAATAAGACGAAACGGACGTCCAGTGCTTCCAGGTTTTCCCTGGTGGTCTAGCTTCAATCGACTCACGCTTTCAACTTTGAAAATACTAAACCTCCATAAAACTCCCTCTTATTACATTTTGAAAATTTATCTAAACTTACCTAAATGAAAGTATGCTAAACATTAAGTAATGATTATATTAATAATTGTAATTCTGAGTTATATGTAAATGATGAGAAACCGTGAAATAGAATGAATTTCTATTATTATTATTATTGCACTGTTTAGATTTATCAATGGATCTGGTTGCATGAAGTAATGTTATTGTTGGGTATTTTTTTTAAAAAAGTAAAAATAATCTTTATAATTGAGCATGCTCAATTCTCAACATGATGGAAAACAAAACAAGGTATGACTAGGTTGAATGAAAACGTGAATTAGTGATCGTCAGATTTGATAACAATGAAATGTCTATAAAATTTCTTTATCATTATATATATGTATACATATATATATCGGCTGTTCTATCGACGACTGAACATGAATCAAACGAAAACATAATTATCTGAGGTTATTTTCATGGGAATTTCAATAATTTATTAACATGTGCAAATTTTGTGTAAGCTATACGGGTAAGTTATGTTGTCAACAAAATGAGTGGTGAGATAATCATATTTGATGACTAGGATGAATAAAATCAGATGAAATTCTAGTTAAAAAGTCCACTGTCAACAATGTTTCATGCAATTGGTTCCCTTTATGAATTTAAATAAAGCCAGAACAAATATTGATGCAGATTAATATGAATTCATTATATATCGTGGTTTCTCGTCAGCTGCTTACAACTAAATATGTATTAGAATTTTAGCATTGGGGTAATAAATCGACAAGTTCTCTTTTCTCAGTAGCTTCAACTGTATTTACAAATTTACATGTAAATTCCAAAGCACATACATTGGAAGAACCGAGAGAAGAGTACATGTTCTCATTTCTGAGCATGTTTCAAAGAAATTGAGGCTGTGAGGGACCAGGGCTGTCAACAGTGCAATAGCTCGGCACTTACTTGACACCGGGCACACCATTGATATTTCTCATGCTTTCAAAATTATTAGCAGAAAGAGGAGTACGGTCACTCTCCGGTTTGCTGGAGTGATCGCAATAAAAAACTTAAACCTGATCTATGTATTCGTAAAGAGACAGTGATAAACTTATTACTACCCTGGTAATCGACTTTTTTTGTTTTAGTTTTTTGGTTATAAGTTTTATTTTAGTTAGTATTTAGTTTGTATTATATTTCTGTTCCATTACCCAATTCTTAAACCACCCTTACACTCACACATTTCCACTCACTTGTTTCTCTTAAATTACATGAACTCTCCAAATTCCATTCAATTATTACTGATCACTCGTAAAAAAAGCAATACAATTCACTGTTCTTCTATGTTGTTCTGAAGATGATCTCAGACATTGAATAAAATCATAATTTTAGTTATTCAATCACTTACCTCTTTACAATGATACTGTCTACGTCTAGACCTAATAGTTAGTATGTCAGTTGAATGTATGATTACTATGAGCCTCAATGTCGTTTTGGAGTTTATATAACGTAAGTAAATCTAAGACAAAATAAACATATATATGGCATAAGTACTTTAATTTATTACCATCATCTATGTGGAGATACGTAATTTAATTGACCAGAAGTAATTAATCAGACAAGTGATTCCACATATTTGTAAAACAATCTCAGTAGGGAAGTTGTATATATTTTCTCCCAAGTGTTAATGATTATATTACCTTAAAACTATAAAATACCATTTTTATTCATATTACATTGTCTGATTCGTACGATAAATGCATATCCTTTTTATTAGTTCCTTACTCAAAATGCATAGCTCCAATTTATGAATGAACAGATCTCCTGTCTGATATTTCAGTTGCATTTATTCTTGAAGTTCAATCCAAAGTCAATACCTATTTAGTTATCAATATTGTAAATGAGTCATTTACTTACCGATAGCACTAAATAAAGGTCATAAAATATTATGAATTCATTAGGGATTTTTTTAAATAATGGGAACCACAGAATTCTGCCCCATTATTCCAAGTTATGGCAAAATTCATTAAAACTAAAGGTCTTGAATCTGAACTCATATAAGAGCGACGTAGATATGAACTGTAAAGAAATCTCAAACTAGAAGGAAATGATTGTCTGATTATTAGTAGTTCTTTGACTAGTCCCTGTCCACGTTAATAGTTACTTTCAGAATCAAGTGGTTAGATAACACGTCTCACACCAATTAGGTATTTAAGATGCTTTAATGCAACTAGTTCAGTGCTTTTGACTTTACCATTTGTCGGCAACTGTGGCAGAAACTCCTGTTTCAATTAATCGCTTTATATCTCTCAATAAACTAATATCTGTGTTTCAATTTGGTTACTTTATCCTCAGTCTATCCTTGGAATCATTCTTCTGATGATTCTATGACAATGATAAGCGAAAACACCCTGCATTAAAAATGATGATAAAGCCATCTATCAATTAACATTGTTCACAATGGACTTTTTTAACTAGAATTTCATCTCCACAAAAACCCCTTCTGACAAAAATAATCATATGCTCACTAGTGACTGACTTCAAGATGCATGTCCTGGAGTTCTAGTGGGAAGCAGTAATCAGTGGAGTTCATCCAGGTCTGTTGGGAGATATCAACTCACTGATGACATTGGTGAGTGGTTGCTCAATTTCGTGGATTGGCTGAAGTTAGACATTAACACCGTTGGATGCCGGCTCAGTGGTCTATCGGTTAAGTGCTCTGGTGTGAGACTGGTTGGTACTGGGTTCAAATATCTCGAGGCGAGATCGTGGATGCGCACTGCTGGGGAGTCCTACAAAAGGGCGTGACGGACGTCCAGTGTTTCCAGGTTTTCCCTGGTGGTCTAGCCTCAATTGACTCACGCTTTCAACTATGAAAATACTAAATCTCCTCAAAATAATAATAATAATAATAATAATAATAATATAAATATCATAACAGTAGAATAACTTATTAGTTATCTGAACTCTGAAGCTTAATGAATACCGCTTTGTCATTTAAAGCAAAAAATAATGAGTTTGAGTTCCAGTGTCAAAATCAATGCTGGGATATAGATATGTACAATTGGCAAGTCCTAAATAAAATGAAACGTGAGTCCTAGTTTCCGTTTATAGCCACTATATACATCATATCGATAACTTTGATCTGATTTAATTTATGTGAAATAACCGATCCATTTAATGTTTCGTTTATTTCTTTGTTGCTAAGCCTTTAACCTTTTATAGTCTACAAATTTTCTCTTAATTGTAAATTCTTTATAAACTTCATGAACTACTGATTATTATTCATATAATACTATCGAAATATCTAAAAAAAAATTTGACGCCAAAACAATCATTCTAAAATTATCTTTATAAAAAAAGAAGCCACAATTTCCCTCTTTACTGAAACATTTGATTTAGACTAGAAAAATAGAACATTTTCCAGATGGTGTATAACCAACAGTAGACCTATATAATTATGAAAAGAACAAAACAGCTTAGGTATTCATTAATTATAAGTTAGTGTATAATAAGTTAGAGGAAATGATCTTTTCTAGTAATTAGTAAAAGTACTTTAGAATGTAAATTAACACACTACAAATGAACTATTTATTCATAACAGAAGTGGTTTTGTGGATATCATAGTTATTTTAATAGCTGAGATCATGAATCAATTGAAGCTAGACTGCCATGGAAAACCTGGAAGCACTGGATGGCCGTTTCGTCCTATTGTGGGACTCCTCAGCATTGCGCATTCACGATCCCGCCTTACGAGATTCGATGTGTCGCTCAATATTGTGGATCGGTTGAAGTTAGACATTTACACCGTTTGATGCCGTCTCAGTCGTCTAGCGGTTAAGCGCTGGTGCGCAAAACTGATAGGTCTTGAGTTCGAATCTCGAGAGGCGGGATCGTGGATACGCATTGCTGAGGAGTCCCACAATAGAGCGAATCGGACGTCTAGTGCTTCCACGTTTTTCATGATGGTCTATCTTCATTTGACTCATGATCTCAACTATTAAAATTATTTATTTATAAGTTATATGTTACAGAATATCCCTTTTAAGAATTTATAACAAACTGATATTAACTGGGAAATGATTGTCAAACAAGAGAATATTTTGTATAGTTGTTTCATTCTATTTTAATACTTTCCACTAATATTTACATGAGATTGTTCACTTAATCGATCATAGAGTTAACAGAATTCATTAAGTCAATATTATTTCGACTTAACTTTAATTTGATTTTTATCGTCTACTATATGATAACGGCTTAAAAAGTCTTTCTATTAACTTCTCATTGTCTTGTGATTCATTTTTAAGGTAAGATTAAATAACTCTATAAATATTAGTATGAGGTTGTAGAGATTGTTGAATTTTAATTGAGATCATGAACTGATCAATGTTAGGCCACCGTTGAAAACCTTGGAGCACTGGACGGGTATTTCCTCATAGTATGGGACTTAGCAGTGTGCACCCACGATACCACACGTGGGATTCAAACTCAAGACCTTCGGTCTCGCGCACAAACGTTTAATCTCTAGACCAATGAGCCGGCATCCAAAATTGTTAATGTCTAACTTCAACCATTCCACGATATTGCACGACCATCTTCTATTGTCTTCGGTACGTGACTGCTTCACACCCGACATGAATTGTATTCCATTGATCACAGCTTCTTCAATGGTGGTTTAAGATCGATCGGTTTATGATCTCAATTAAAATTCTATAAATATTTATATATTTTCAATTGTAATCATCAACAGTTGGCAGGGCAGGATATCTACCCGTGAATTTGTTCAATATATGTGAAACATGTAACATTTTTATGTTTATTTAGTAAGTGAGTGGTGTATAGAAGAGCATAATTTTCACTGAGGATTTCGTTTCAAGCTACAACTTACGCTTTTTTTATTTTTTCTATCCCATAAGTTAGGATATGCTACAGTGACGTGTTCACAGAATATAAATGTAGATAGCTTTAGATAAATAAAATGAAATCCTTAGTGAAAATTCTGTTCTTCTATGTAACACTGACATATTAAATGAAAGGGAAGATATTTAAAATCCGTAGATATTACATTTTTATTGAATAATGAAAAAGGGATGGTTATCATTACACAAGTTTACTATGTGATAAGCATGTTTACCGTTCATTCTAACCTAATGTAATCCTAATTGCTATTGACTGAATAGAAAGTAAATTAATATTTACAAGTATCTAGATTATAATTGTTTTTGCTTTTTTTTTCTCTGTGGATCGTCCCAATGCTTATTAAATCGCAATCACTTTGTGAGTAAAGTTTCTAGTATGGTGAATCGTATCAACTTCTATAAATGAATTTTAAGTGCAGAAATAAACACCATATACATAAAAGAATCTTAACGTCCAGTTGACCTTTTTCACTTTACGAGAGAGAAAAAGAAAAGTTAAAATGAAGCAGTTATGTAAAAAATAATTGAATTTATCAAAGCTAATCACTATTCATTACTTTAGAGAAGATCAAACCACTTGTGAAATATAACATACTATACTATAGAAACGTGTACTGAAAAATGCTTTACATAAAACTTCAATCAGTATTTATACTTTTTTGGTAGGAGATAATTTATTCTCAACTTGCCCATCGACAAATAACTTCATATGCATTGAAAAGTCATTTTCTATCCTTTGTATAAAACGTTAGGAACTGGGTTTAAGTCTCTGTATGAGCATCAACACTAAGATAAAGGTACATTCAACTAGCAAATCTCACATAACATAAAACCTGTATCCTAGATTTCACTCCTAACCATATTTCAAATATACTTCAGATTTATAACTGAGAATATGAAGGTAACTAGCTAATGGTTAAAAAATATTATTAAAGACTGATCAATTACAATATTTAATAATAATAACAGCAACGGGAAATATAGATCCTTACCAAAGGATGAATAGCGTTTTTACGGTAGAATGATATCAATCTAATAAATACTGAAAATAGAATTCCAAATACTGTAAACCTGTTTTTTTTTCGATTTTTAACAGTATAATGTTCAACTCATAAACTTCAGATAGCATTATGAAAACGTTATCAATCAACTGTTGGATCATCATTTAGTGATCTCCAACTAGTGTTAACAATGTTAGTTAGGTTAAACTATTTTAATATCAGAAGGGGTTTTTGAGGAGATTTAGTGTTTTCATAGTTGAAAGCGTGAGTCAATTGAAGCTAGACCACCATGGAAAACCTGGAAGCACTGGACGGCCGCTTCGTCCTAATGTGGGGCTCCTCATCAGTGCGCAGTGACCAGTGGAGTTCAAACTACGTCTGTTGTGAGATATCAATCCACTGAAGACCATTGGTGAACGGTTTCTGAACTTCGTGGATTGGTTGGAGTTAGACATAAACACCATGGCATGCCGGCTCAGTGGTCTAGTGGTTAAGTGCTCTAGAGCGAGACTGGTAGGTCCTGAGTTCGAAACTTGAGAGGCGAGGTCGTAGATGTGCACTGCTGAGGAGTCCCACAATAGGACGAAATGGCCGTTCAGTTCTTCCAGGTTTTCCCTGGTGGTCTAGCTTCAATTGGCTCAACTATAAACTATTTTAAACAAAATATTCAATTGAATAGATATCAGTTGTACTGAAGTTAATGAAAATCAGTTTGTAAAAGAAATATAAGCCATATTTTTTATGACATATTTTAAACTTACTGACTATTCAATTATGCTCCAACTGTTTTACTCCCACAACTACCAAATACCAGTTCATTCCATTATTGTTGTTTTTTGTCAAAACAGATTGACAGAAACATGGATGTAAGTATTTCCTTTTTTTAAATGAATATAACGTGTCAGCCAGTACAAATAATCCTATCATGTATTCTTTATTGTAAATACCTTAAAACGATATGAAGAAATATTCTGATATAATCTTCTGAGCAATCTTTTGACAATTCTGCTTGAAGAAAGAATTCCTGAATTATGATTGGATAAAATAATGTAACAGCAATAGGTTGACATTAGAATCACGGCTCGTATAATCCCCTACCACCCTTTTTTTGGAAATTTAAGGATATGAAAAAAATTTAGCAATTGGTGATTGGTGAATTTGTTTTTGAAAGTGTGTGCTCAAGTGCAAATGAACAAACATTTTGTCACCTGTAATAATTTTTTTAATTGGTTGTAAATGGTGCAGTTTTGTAATCTGATTCGTTCAAATCAAACTAGAATAAAGTGCTTTTATTGGATGTAAGAATTGACATTTTTACATTCGATTATTATTTACAATAATTAACTAATTTTGGCAGTGTCCATCTGAGTTTTGTAAAAAAAATTTAACTTCGAAAAAAACAAAAACAAATCCATTTCATTACCCTGCTATACTCCTGTTAGTGAATGTAATTTCTTTTTATGAAGTACAAATGCAACTAAAGTTATCTGTTATCGTCGTGGCAAGAGTAGTAATAATAATGTGTAGATCATTGAAAGTTAATTTTTGAAAAAACTTACAGTTGTTATTAATAATTGATAATGGTGATTATTGAATTTCAAAAAAGGTAGTCAAATGTTTAATACACAAATTAGTGAACAGATTTTCATTTAAGTATTCCCTTAAGTTAATTTAACACATAGTTCGCTCATTTAATAAACGTTATATTCGTGTAAGTATATGAATAAATCATGATAAAGAGAAAGTGAATGGGTCATGCCGAAGTAACGCTAACCGTAAAAGATGGGTAAATGAAGCAACTTTTACGCTGTCTGAAATGAGTAATAATGTCTGAGAAAAAAGCAAATAATCTTTATAATTCAGTTATTTTGCAAACCGTTATTCTTAATACCAAAAAGTTGATCATTTTAGCTTTGAAAAGGGTGTCGAAAATGAACGCAATATTTTTATCAAGGTTTTTTTGTAAATCCATTAAAAGCATAAAATATTTTGACCTGTACATTATTTGTAGTTGATCACTTATTAATGATCACCGAAAATACATGTTAGTGTACTCAGTCATGTAATACGGTAATTGTATTTGTGAGGTGGGCATAATATTTTTTGGCAGCTAATGTTAACAGCCAATGTTTTTCAAGTGCACAGCCTTTCAAATTAATGATCTGAATTTTTTATTTTCATTAGTAAATAACATTGTAAACGTTAATTAATTAGAAAGACTGAAATTACATTTCCAAATCCAACAGTTCCCTTTGTTAAACATACTGGACGAACAATGAAAAACTATGTACAGTTTCCGTCACAAAGACATAATAATTACTCTTAAACTGTCAAACAGTAAATCGCTGAATGTTGAAAAGAATAACCTTCTTTGACAAGCATATGTGTAATATAGGTTGAATGAAGTGTCAATGAACAAGCCTATGTCTAGTGAAATAAATTTCTATTTCAATGATATGACTTAATGTGGAATAAGGTCAATTGTATCAAGTAACCATTATGTATTTAGAATATCGTATTTCAATCTGTTAAGTTAAACTGTACATTTATTTATCAAATGTCTAAATGACATTTATCACTGTATCGAATTTTTCAATGCAATGATAAATCTCATGAGAAACATTATTATTACATTTCGTATGTTCCATTATTATTATTATTATTATTATTATTATTATTACTATTATTATTATTATTATTATTATTATTAATGACTTGTTAGATATGTAAGTCTTCATTATACGACGTTGTTTTCTGTACGGAATCGTTTACTGAAACCTTTAATTTGAAAAACCTTAAAAGCTGTTGACAAAATTATAAAGTGATCGATAATCACTTTATTATTATTAATCTAGAAAAAGTTATTTTACATCTTCATTACTATGGAATTGTGATGAATGATCAGTGTATGTTCACTTGACCTTCTTAATACAAATTATCTTGTTGTACTAATGAACTGATCTCAGTACAATCGTCTACCTTGGCTAAGTGAAAAGAGATTGGAATGATCGTACACACCTTTGCATATACTTTTGTTCGACAGATTAATGTTCATTATATGACGTTGTTTTCTGTACGGAATCGTTCACTGAAACCTTAAATTTGAAAAACCTGGAAAGCTGTTGGCATGGTAATAAAGTGAGCGATGATAATTATTAATCTACAGCTTAATTACTATGGAATTGTGATGACCGATCAGTGTCTGTTCACTTGACCTTAGCAATAGAAATGATCTTGTTGTACTAGTGAACTGATCTTACTACATTTCTCTACTGTACCTAGTAACCAAATCATATGAATGTGAAATGAATTATTGATGGTTTCATGACTCCTCCTTAAAATGGAAACAAGAAATTCAAACAAAATTTAAATCAAATTGTGGGTGGCCCTGAAAAGGGCCTTTACTCGGTCTCTACACAGCTCCTTCGGTCCTGATCGATGACTCCACTATGAGTCCGTGACAGCGCCGCACATGGGACAGTTGAACCCAGGTGATACTTCTGTTGGGTCGTAGGCACAGAACGAATGAAACATAGCGTTGCATGGACAAAAAATCCAAGCACTTCCATCAGCTATTTCACTGGGCGGCTGACATAGATGGCAAATATCACACAGTCGGTCATTGTGCGCACGTTCGTCTTCTTCGTTGTCTCGGTCCGTAAACTCTTCTGAGTTCATAGATATTACTTCAATTTCGTCATCATTTAAGGTAGCATCCAAATCTACGTTCTGTTGACGGTTGGTGCCTGTGGTATTTCGGACGACGGGCATTGTGATGGTAGTAGGTATTCCATCGTTAAGCAACTGATGAGAATAGTTAAGGACAGCGGTACGCTGTTCAGCGGACATACGCCGACATAAGTTGTGAATCGATGTTAGGACGTTTGTCTGCCCGACTTGTACCTGTAACTCATTGTCAATCGTTACTGTGGTTACGAAGCTGTTGGAATGCAGCCATCTGTCACCAATGCTTTCTCTGTGAACTTCGACATTATCGTGCGAACAATATGCCAAGATGTGACGACATACGACTCTGTGTTCTACATAAAAGAAACAGGAACAACTAGTAGGATTTTTGGAGACTGTGTAAGTTCCTGTAGTATCAATGGCCGTGAAAAACTCCCCCGACAATACGTAGTCAGTAACAGGAATGCGCATGTGCCGCTTAAGCAGTTTACATGCAGCAGGTGTAAGTGTTTCCTGAAGACGACGTAGTTGAAGCTCGCGACCCAGCACAGCCCTGCTACGGCATTCAATGGAGTACTTTTGAACTCTAGCTTCTATCCAATATCCAGTGCGAAGCAGAACACTAAATATCGATCTGAACACGGGTGTTTTTCTGTTCAGCTTATGCAACTTTAAAATTCGATGGGTCGTCTCAACGAAATTTGTATTGCTTTGATCTAGAAGCATTGCAGCTGGTCTAAAAGCGTTCGACCACTTGTGCTTTTTGGACAATAACTGATCTCTCAAATATTGATAGAAATTCCCGTCTGCTGCTTCGATAAATGACACATACCGTTGGAAGCTACAATACATTGTAAAGCATATTTCGATTTACCTTTCCACATTTCTTGTTAGCATAAGACGGTAGAACATTTGAAGAAGATCAGATCGTAGCCTCTACGAATACGATGAATGGGTTATTTGTAAAGAAAGGAAAGCTTACCCTTTTGTTTACCCAGTCATAAATTATAAATTCTGTAATTTCATTGGTTTAGCCAAAACTTTGTTCATATGGATAGAATAAATCAGAATTAGTATATTCTTTACACTGGTAATCGTAAATGATGAATATATAGAAAATAAAGCTGTTTTTTCTATCCAATCGAAGTGTAAATGTATACTCTTAAGTTTGCAACTTGTACCCGGAAACAACAACTAAGTGGTGAGAATATTTAGGGAGAAAGGTTATGATTTTTCTTATGAATACAGAAAGGCAGTTAAAAGAAAATATCTTCACTAATGTATATATATAGTTAAACTATCTAGAACAGTGATAGTTTCAAATAAATTGAGCATTGGGTAGAGAGTTAATAATAAATATATTTTTGTTTTATTCCAATAAGTAGAAAAATTGTATTTCTGATATTTCATGACTCAATGTAAGCCACCTCTTCAGAGTAAATAAACAACCGACGTTTAAACTTGTGTTAATTTAATGTTGGTTATCTATTTACTCTGAAAAGGTGGCATACTTCAAATCACAAAACATCAGAAATACAGCCTTTCTATTAATTTGGATAAAACAAAAATATATTTATTATTATCCAGGATATTATTCGGGTATCTGACAGTTAGATAAATGACTTGATTTTAGCTAAAGTTTAAAGATGACTTGAATTAAGCGATTATATATTGGTTCTTCAATTAAGCTTATATTTTACTTTTACTTACGCCTGTTACTCCCAATGGAGCATAGGCCGCCGACCAGCTTAATTAAGCTTATATAACAAAGGATAATTAACATGTAATCGATTATTTAAACAACATAACTTTAAAAGTTTGAATTCACTTAGTATTGTTTGTTTGGATCTTCCCATCGATGTGCTTAGGACTGCAACTGGTCAGTCTCTAATTGGCATATGTGCATACTGTGCGTATTGCCTCGATATACCTTAATTCACAAGCATGGTAAGCAGAGATGGATAGTGGCTAGCAGTGGAATCCAGGACGCGCGTTTCGTCCTATTTGGGACTCGTCAGCTGGATGTACCTGCATCTCAGAGTTGATGTTCACTCTGGGACTCGAACCCAGTACCCTCGCTTCAAACGCCATCGCGTTATCCACTCGGCCACTGAGTCCTGATAGCCACTTGCTTGTGCGATGGGGTGAAGTTTGAATTCACTTAGTATTGTTTGTTTGGATCTTCCCATCGATGTGCTTAGGACTGCAACTGGTCAGTCTCTAATTGGCATATGTGCATACTGTGCGTATTGCCTCGATATACCTTAATTCACAAGCATGG